CCAAATACTCATAAATATCTTTGTCCCTCCTTCTAGTGGAACCATGTCAGAAAGATGGTGCCACCTAAACTATTACAGAGCTGTATAAGATATGAATTTACTACCTGTGCTTAAAATATGTATTTACAATATTAGTTACCATATGTATTCCTTTTTTAATTCTTTAGGAAACTGCGAAGGGATTATCCCTCCAAAATCTTAATGAACCTGAGTACAGCCCTGTTGTTCCTGAATCTCCTCTTCCTCCTGGACAGCTGGATCACCTCCTTTGGTGTGGATGGACTCTGCACTGCTGTCGCTGCCCTGTTGCATTTCTTCCTTCTGGCAACATTTACCTGGATGGGGCTAGAAGCAATTCACATGTACATTGCTCTAGTTAAAGTATTTAACACTTACATTCGCAGATATATTTTAAAATTTTGCATCGTTGGCTGGGGTAAGACTCCTACATTTTTTTTTTTTTTGGTTTAAATTTACCGGGTACATGTGCTTTTTTGTTACATGCACAGAATGCATAGTGACCAAGTCAGGGCATTGAGTGTCCATCACCCGAATAACATGCATTGTACCCACTCACCAATTTCTCATCATCCTTTCTCCTAAAATTTTCTGGTTTTCTCTTTCCTGACATGAAAATTGCCACATTTTCATAGGAAAATCTTATTTTTAAAGACTAGTAGGTTGGCTGCCCAGTACTTTGAATGGCCAGTTCCTTCATATATTTTTAAATTTTATTATGAATTTGTAATTATGTATTATTTTTTCTGTTGCCATCTGATAAACACTTAATTTTATGCATTTGTGGAGATATGCATTTTTAGTGCTATCTTTCTGTTTTCCACTTTGGCTGCTTTTGTAGTATTATCAACTGCTGGTATAAAACCTTCCAGAATTTATCCTTTCTGGTGATGTACCCATATCCTTTCCACTTTTCCAGACCACCCCAGACATTGTTAGGAGTTTTTCTTGATTTACAAACTCATTATTCACTTGTATAAGATATTCCCAGAGTCTGTGCTGTCCCATCAATATTTACCATTTGAGAAGTTAAAAAAATGCATCCTATACCTATAATTATATCTCCTAATCTACAAAATCATCTCTGCTACATTTCTTTGTAGTAAAACTGATTTTTTTGCATTTTTAATGTTAGTACATTTTCATATTGGCTAGTTCAGAAGGAGAAATATTTTCATATTTTAATTCTCTAAAAGTATAAAGCATGAGAATTTTGTGTAAATATGTATCAGTAAGCAGGATTATTTAGTTTTTATTTTAAATTCTGGATTTAATTGCAGTTTGCAAGTCAACTGTCTTACCCAGACAGGAAACAGGTTTTTCAAGAGGTAGTGACACGTCAGTTGGGAGATCTCTCAAGACCGTGACTCATTCCTCTGGCCTAATGAAATCCTGGAGTGACCAAAATATTGATTGAGGTAGCCTATCTGTGAGTCAGGTGTCACTGACTCAAACCCCATCCCATGTGTCCTGGATGTCCCATGTTCCCCCAGTGTTTTGAGGAATTCCTGGGGTAAGAAGACAGGGCAAGTCCCTTCCAACTCTGAGCCCCTGTTTCTGTTGAATTCCATCCCTTTGTGCATTTCCTGATGTCACAGAGGTGCTGTGCCTGTTCCTTACTGCATCGGTCACGCCTGGAACTGACCCACATTTCTTCATTTCACACACACACACACACACACACACACCACTTACTCAAGGGCCGTGTGTGTGAATAACAGATTCTATTGACATTTTGGTAAAAATTAATGTAGAAGAAAAAAATCACGAAACAAACTTTTTTTCATAATTTAAGACCTTTGTTGGGGAACTTGGTAGTTTTATTCTTCAAGTTATACTCGTGTGTAAAGAGCTTGGGAAAGAAGGCAATGATAAAAAACAATGTGCAACTCTTTCCGAAATAAGGCTGCCTTTTTTTTCGTGTATTGATCCAAAAGAATACAATCAATGGAAATTTCAGTATTGACTTATATTGTTGTTTTTAGCCCCTGAGATTAAGGTGGTCTGATGTTAGCAATGAACTTTTCTAGTGAAACAATCATTCTCATGAAAAGAGAGATTCTTATAGCTGCTTCTGATGTTTTGTGTAGGACCTTCCAAGAAGTGCCTCACAGATAGATGCAAGAAACACTAAAGTCCTCACTTTCATCAGCTATATTGGGTGTGGGATATCTGCTATTTTTTCGGCAGCAACTCTCCTGACATACGTTGCTTTTGAGTAAGTATTTTTCTAGCTGCCAGCCCAGTGCTAGCTATTCCAAATGCGAATGAGGAAATTGCCTTGGCTTTTAAAAACATTTATGCACTTTGTGAATCATGGAGAGTGGTTCAATTTTAATGTTCAGGTTTCTCAAAAGATAGATCATACAACATGAATTTTCCAGCTATAGAATCTTAATTTATAATTACTGTATTTCTGTTTATAAAATGCATTCAAATCTGTTAGAAATGACTAACATTTAATAAGTAAAAATTGTATAAGATGCTTTCTACGTTGTAAAAGATGAAAACATTTGCTTTATAAATCTTATAAAATTAGTCCTGAAACAGGAAATTTTTAAAAAGAATCTTTAAC